ATAGGGTCGTCTACTGGGGCCTGGGCAACCTACCAACAGCCAGATCTTAAGAGTCATTCTCACTCAGCTGTCATCAGCTGCCAATAGTTCCTCAGCTAGGGGAGGGGCTCAGAGTCCCTCCCTGACCCATGTTGGAATTTTGAATGCAGGTCTTGTGCCTGCAACCTCAGCACCAACTGTGAGTGGATGCATAAAACGGTCATATCATGTCTACAAGATAGCATGTCATAGTGCTTCTTCCCACCCTCCGCTCTTGAGGTCTGTCTGTCCCTTCTTTCATGATCATCCATGAGCCTTGGATGGGGAGGTTGATAAATGATCCATCTATGACTCAGCATTCATAGACACTTGCTCTCAGCATTTTCAACCAGTTGTGAATCTACATTAACCACTACCTATGATTTGTGTAAATGCATATACAATATGTGTTTATACAGAGAGATAAAATATTAATGATACTTCAACAAGTATCTGGGTAAATATCTGTTGTGGTGCCAGGAGCTTCTGCTGACTTCTCATCCATACAACTCTCTGTAAATCTGAAATTCTTTCCAAAAAAAAGGGGGGGGGCTTCTTTGACCAAGGCTGTGAGAAGTACAAATCTATGGGTATAAATGTAAACATTTAGATGGCAATTTCACAACATGCCCATTTAAGGGAACCACAGGAACCACAGTAGCTTTCCCTCGAGGGTCTGTGTGGTCCCCTCAACCATGGGATTTTGACAATGTTTACAGTAGCAGACATTAAATCTCCCCTGTGGAACAGGCATCATCATCCAATTAAAAAGTGATTGACTAGTCCTATAACTACCAGGCCAGTGTTATACCACTGGGAACAACTTGGTTGGGCATTTTCATGTGTTCTGGAGACACCATCACCCAGCTCAGGTGATTACAAACACTGCCATAAATGTTCACCTCCAGTCTAGAGTCAGAAAGGGTTCTGAAATTGCTGTATGGAATTGTAAATCAAAGTTATGTTTCTTAATATTTCATTTACAATTGAGAACTTATTCCATGTATGCAGGTTGATTACGTAAGTGCCTGTGAAAATGTTTTGAGGAACATTCAGTGAGAAAAATGGCTCATGCCTCCCCTGTTGACTTAGGTCCTTAGGTCTTATATAACTGGGGTTATAAAATAACTGGGGTTATAAAGAGTAATGTGCAGGCAAGGATGAGATGTTGAGAAGGGCTGGGGTGTGGACACAGGGGTAAATCATGGTGAGAAGGCTGTGGTTGGGGCAGTATTGACTGAGGGGGAGGTTGGACAGGCAGGGGCTGAAATGGGCAGCAGATCTAAAAGATGCTGGCAGATCTCTGAATCTACTCTTTGTAGTTAAAGGTGACATGACTTGTGGTTATGGACATCAGGCAAGAAAAAAGCAGGCAGAGAAGGTGGAGAAAATTGAGGCAGCCAGCTTGTACCCTATCAGAGAGACCTGTGTTCCGATCTCAATTTGTGAAATTCAAGGAGAACTACTGCCCAAAAATCTAGGGGAAATTTTTCAAGAAAAAAATTAACCGTGTTGAGTGTTGACTGCTTAAGACATTATTTTTTAAAGGGAGGGGTGGTCCCTTACTTCCAAAGTCCAGGAAACACTGAGGAAGAAGGGATAGAAACATCGTAAGAGTTTGGCAGGACTGCTGCACACCAGCCTCTTCTAGACTTGAGAAGGCAGGTACACTCATGACCAGAGAGGAGCAGCGGCTGTCTGCACAAGACCTGCACAAGCTCAAGCCAGTCAACCCTCCAGCACAGACTCATGACCGCGCCCCTAGCTGAGGAGATAGGGACATTTGTGGCTTCAAGTGGAAGGAGGGTCAGTTTTCTTCAGGGATGTGGGCCCTGTAGGTTGCATAGTCTCCAGAGCATGCACCTACATCCACACGCTTGTGGGCATCCCGACTTAGACTCAGTGAGCTATTGGAGAAGAAAAGGACTTGAAGTTTGGAAAGGAATGTGGAGGAGAATGGGGAAAGGATATGATCAAAATGCATTCTATATATATATATATGAAATTATCAAAGAATAAACAAATAGATTTTTAAATATAAGTGTAAAGATAATGAGTGTTTGGTAATTTTTATTTTTTTAGGTAAGCTTAGTAATAATGGCATGGGTGGAACAGGCAGTGAGAACAGATGAGCATCAGATATGTTCATGGGTGAGCTAAGATGTAGGATAAGTTTTAAGTGTCTCATAGAAAGTGAGTAGGGACACAAAAGGGAGAGGCTTAAGATTATGAGATTGGTGACAATGGCATTATACTAGTATTCACAAGTTTGAGAAAAGCCAACACTATATTAATTTATAATGCATGAATAAGGAATAATAATAATTGTGGTTAGGCAATTAAACAATGAATGGCTGAAAACAGTCATTTTTACTTCAATGTTTTTTAACTTTAATCTTAACATCTTGATAGATTCTTTATATAGACATCTACATTACACATCTATATATATGAGAGGGTCCCTACTCTCTGGGAGAGAATCACGCCTTCTCTTGACACTCGGTACATTCATTCATTCCTAGAGAAGGGTGACAGAGAGGTCAGCATAGAGGTAAAGAGAGGCAAGTGATTGTCAACAAAACTTGGGATGCTGACATGGCTCAGTGGGTGAAGGCACTTGCTGTCCAGCCTGACAACCCGGGATCCACATAGTAGAAGGGGGAGGATGGACTCCCATGAATTGACCTCTGATCTTCCATGTGCACTGTAGCATGTGCCCGTATAAACACATACAAATTAGTAAATGTAATAAAAATAAACAGCACTGTCTTTTTCACTCCAGACTGGACAAATCTGCATTGACTGAGGAGTCACAGATGCTACTGCAAGCTGTGGAAATGAAGGAAAAACTGGATATCTTACATTGTCCCTGGGTCAAAGAGGAAAGGGAGAGGAGAGGTGTCCGTCTGGTATGGAACAGCACAAACTGATCTTGAAACAACGTCTTTTCCTTCGTCATATTCCTCCTGTGTACCCTGTCCCAAGTTGCACACCTGGTACTGGTAGCTGATTCCAGGGTTGTTCTTTCACAGTGTCCTGCCCCCATCCGTCTTTATACTCCCCCTCACCATTTTGCAATATTTAGATAACAAATACATTCAATAAACTCTGAGCATGTTTGAAAACATGAATGAGCCCTTAATGGCTGTCTTAGAGTGTTGGGGTTTGAACATAAAGAGACCCCAATTCTGTTACAGTTCTGGTTGGGAGTCATGTTGGTAACATGTCTACACTGGTGTCATTCTCAGTGCAGTGAACATCCACCTGAACTGTGTAGTTCATGCCGTGATCCTAAAAGACACCAGCATCACAATGCAGAAAGTGGGAAGCATGAAGATCATATCTAGAATCCCCAAAGTTAAAATCAGGAATCCATACTTTTGGAAAAGTGATCTCAAAAATTCTTTTTCCAAGTTCCAGGGATCAGACCTAAGTTTCACCCTTTATTCCTTCAAAGAGGGGCTGGAAAGATAACACAGTGGTTTAAAGTGCTCCCTGCTCCTCAGAGGGTCAGAGTTCAAACCCTAGCACATACATTGTGTGGCTCAAAACTGCCTGTAACTCCAGCTCTAGGGTATCTGATGTGTTTTGCACATCACCAGGCTTCCACAGACACCTACATGCAAGCACACAGATTCACATATATACACACAAATAATAAACCTCTAAAACTTAAGATTTTACATTTTAACTGTTAGTCACTATTATGTTGGCTGTAAATTACCATAAAGAACTCAGTCCTATTTAAACAATATTTTAAATTTTAGTCTAAACCAGTATTTCTCAACTTGTGGGTCACAACTTCAAAGGGGATTGTATATCATATATCCTGCTTATCAGATATTTACATTATGATTCATAACAGTAGCAAAATTACAGCTATAAAGTAGCAATGAAATAATTTTTGGTTGGGGGGGTCACCACAACATGAACTGTATTAAAGAGTTGAGGCATTAGAAAAGTTGAGAACCACTGAATAGTTAGATTATTTTTCTTTTAAGAAAATATTTATTATATGGATGTGTGTGTACCAGGTGTGTGTGTACCATGTCTGCACAGAAGCCCTTGGAGGTCAAGAGGCCATCAGATCCCCTGGAACTGTAGTTACATGTGGTTATGAGCTGCCATGTGGGCGGTAGGAATGGACTGGGTCCTCTGAAAGAGCAATGAGCACTCTTCATCTCTGAGCCATCTCTCAATTCCGTAAAATATTTTTTCAAAAACTAGAAAAAGTATTCTTACTAATTCAGTTGAGCTTTCCTGATAGAAACAACTGGGTTTTCCCACCCTAATAATTCAGCTTCAGTTTGACTCTGGTACGCTTAATGCAATGTAGATTTTTTTTTCCTTAACCTAATGAGATTTCTACTCTTTAATTTTAAATTATTTGTGTGTGCACATGAGGGAAGTTGCCTGTGGGGCCACGAGAGGGCACTAGATCCCCTGGATCTGGATTTAAAGGCAGCTGTGAGGGTCTGGTGTGGATGTGGGCAAACTCCCTTCTTCTGCAAGAGCCATGGTGCTCTCAACTGCTGAGCTGCCACTCTAGCCTGACCTGTTTTGAGTTCTGACTAGCAAAGTGTTGACCCTTTGTTCCTTATAACTAGAGATGTAAAGCTCAGGCAGGCATACACTTCTCTCTGCTGACCCCCTTCAATACCAATAAATTCACCACTGTAGCTGTTTGAAAGCAACAATAAATTGACGTTTTATTATGAATACCCTGCTTGCAATCCAGTTTTGGAAACCAGGTACAGATATGTCTGCTCTAGACTCAAGTTTTTTAAAAATTATTTTGCTCTGAGTTTTGTGATATGAACCACCTGGCAACTCAAGAGGATAGTATTCCAATCTTCATTCCATTCCTGTGATAAAGCACTGACCCAAAGCGACATGGGGGGAAAGGGTTTATTTGGCTTACAGGTCCTCCATCATGGGAAACTGAGGCAGGAACTTAGAGACCGTGGGGGAATGATGCTTACTGGCTTGCTCCCTGTGACTTGCTCAGATTGCTTTTTTTCATACAACCCAGAGCCACTTCCCCAAGGATGGCACCACCTTGAGTGGGCCAGGCCCTCATACAGACCAAACTGATAGAGGCATTTTCTCCATCAGATTTCCTGACCCCAGATGACTAACTTGCATCCAGATGACAAAAAAGGCACAGATAGATTTGTTTTTAAGTTTAGTAGCTAACACTCAGAGTCCTTAAAATGTTTACAGTCTTATAACCAGACAGCCGGGCATTGGTGGTACACACCTTTAATCCCGGCACTCAGGAGGCAGAGGCAGGCAAATCTCTGAGTTCGAGGCCAGCCTGTCTACAGAGCTAGGTCCAGCATAGCCAGGACTACACTAAGAAACCCTATCTGGGATGGGGGTGTGCAGAGTGGCATGGGGGTAGGTGGGTGGGGGCACTGATCAACAGCGTGCTGACCAGGGGAAGAGACCAGGATCCAGCCTCGACATCTTCTCCTGATAGACTCTGTCAAAGGCTTCACTTTGAGCCACAGTGAAGAGATTCTTCCAGTCACCACAGATGCCTGTCGGTCAAACACAGAAGGAAAAGCACCAGGAAAATGAGTCCAAATTCCACTTGCACAGCCAAGCCTGTCACACTCCCACCTCAACTATCCAGTTAGTATTTTCTCTCAAGACCAAAATGAGTCATCCTACAGTTTTCTGCTTCAGACCAACTGCCAACTGTCAAAACTACGTTAACACAAAAGGGACAGGGCTTGCGATGATTTGAGGTTGGTGCCTGTGAGCGTCCGAAATGTCAGGTGGAAAAATCCTAGTCTTGAAACTTTGAAGGAAAAACTGAGGGAGTTTTCATACCTGCACCTCAGTCCTGCCCGCCATGTGGAAAAAAATAACAACTATGTGACAGAGATACAGGGTACAAAATGGACACTGAAAGTTTGTGTCCTTCAACTTTTTTTACAACAAAGTTTGTATTATAGTCAAGGGAATATGGTTAAGTTACACAATGCTGTGATCAGAAAAATCTCCACTAGGGAAATGGATGTGTTCTACATCACTTTTCTCCATGCGGGAGATTTTTGTAATCCGTTTCCACTGAAATACATAAATAGTCCAGTGTCACAAACATCTCCCAATACTACTACTTTTTTAGTCATATATGAATCATCAAGCCCCACCACCCTGGATCCCTGAAGGTCAGCAACATATTCTCTGCCTCTACAATTATTTTCTATTTTATGAATGTTACATAAATATATTGTGTGTAGATTTGTTGTTGACTCTTGTCGCTCAGCATAAGGCCACTGGAATCCCGTCCAAGTTGCTGCATGTGTCAGTAAACTCTGTTACTGATGAATGGCATTGTATCTGTCATGTAGACACGTGGATGTTTGCATGGGTTATCTGTTGTAAACCCTCTGAATTGGAAAGTGCTGTTCCTGTGACTACACCTCTGGTTTCTTACAGACGTGGACAATGTCACTGAGACTGACTGGTCTAAGTGTATAGACAGGACTTGTCCATCCCACAGGCAGAGCCAGGAGGGCACAGGCACCTCTCACTCCTTCTCTGCTTAACCGTGGTTCTAAGGATTCTCAGTAATGGATCTGTGGGCAGTGACTCTTCTAAAGAATATGATGGAATATGACACTAGCTTCCAAGCATGTCTGTTTCCATGCCTCATGCTTCATGCAAACATCAAACACCTACCCATTTTTACAACACAACCTTGACACTCTATCTTGTCTCACCCTTTCTCAGCAATGGTATATTGGAGACGGTGCCATCTTTGGGATTTCTTAGCATTAGGCTGTTGGACATGCTATTCTCTTTCATGACTGAAAAGGACAAGTTTCGGACAGCAGAATCAAGCTGCTCTGGAGTCAGATGTTTGCCCAGAAATTGACACACATTTTGCATGCTGCCTCTGAGGTCCTGTGGGTGGAAAAGGAGTTATCAGGAGAGAGTGGATACAAGCAATGATGATGACATAGCCCTTGAGTTCTCAAGAAGATGAATACTTCCTTATTATGTGACCTAAACTTTTCTTTCCAACATCCTACATAATATACATATTCATATATAATATATACTGATATACATAACTATGTTATATATATTTATAAGTTCATTTCCAATTTGTGTCCCCTTGATTTCCTTGACCATCCTTGCATCCCTGGGATGAAGCCTACTTGATCATGGTGAATAATTGTTTTGATGTGTTCTTGGATTCTGTTTGCCAGTATTTTATTGAGTATTTTTGCAGCAATGTTCATGAGGGAGATTGGTCTGTAGTTCTCTTTCTTTATTGCATCTTTGTTTGGCTTGGGAATCAGGGTAATTGTAGCCTCATAAAAAATTGGTAATGTTTCTTCTGTTTCTATGGTGTGGAACAAATTGAAGAGTATTGATATTAGCTCTTCTTTGAAGATCTGGTAGAATTCTGTGCTGAAACCATCTGGTCCTGGGCTTTTTTGGTTGAGAGACTTCTAATGACTGTTTCTATTTTGTTAGGGGTTATTGGTCTATTTAAATAGTTTATCTGGTCTTGATTTAACTTAGGTATGTGGTACCTATGCAGAAAATTGTCCATTTCTTTTAGATTTTCCAGTTTTGTGGAGTACAGGTTTTTAAAGTATGACCTCATGATTCTCTGGATTTCCTCAATGTTAGTTATCTAACTTTTCATTTCTGATTTTGCTAATTTCGATGCTCTCTCTCTGCCTTTTGGTTATAATATATTTTATATTATGTTTATAAGTTGTATATGATGTATATACTATATAATATGTTATGCAGTATAATATGAATACATAAATTTATAATAAATGCATGATGTGTGTAAATTTATAATGTAATATATATATATATATATATATATATATATATATATATATATATATATATATATATATATAAAATGCATGTGCATACAGTGAGCACTGAGGCCAGAAAAGGACAATGGATCACTCTGAGTTGGAATTAGAGGTGGCTGGGAGCCACCATGTGGGAGCTGGGGATCGAATCCAGGTCCTCTGTAAAGGTAACATGTATTCTTAGCCACCACTCAGCCCCAACTTCACCAGTTTTCAACTCTGTCTTACATTGTGAAGGGATAAAGGAGTCATGAAAAGAAAACCCATTCCTTCGTCAAGTCTGCCTGCCAGCCACCAGCTCAGAAAAAAAGCGTGTGTGTGTGTGTGTGTGTGTGTGTTTGCATCTGTGTCTGTCTGTGTGTATCTGTGTATGTGTGTATATGTCTGTGTGTGTATGTATGTGTCTGTGTGTGTCTGTGTATGCATGTGTCTGTGTATATGTGTGTCTGCATTTGTGTCTGTGTCTGTGTGTGTTCCTGTGTGTGTGTGTATATGTGTGTGTCTGTGTGTGTGTCTGTGCACATGTGTGCATGTGTGTGTCTGTATCTGTGTGTGTGCCTGTGTATGTCTGTGCATGTGTGTGTCTGTGCATGTGTGTGTATGTATGTGTGTTGCATGTGTATGTCTGTGTCCATTATTCTCTGTGTGTGTGTGTGTCTGCATCTATGTCTGTATCTGTGTGTGTGCCTGTGTATGTCTGTGCATGTGTGTGTGTACATGTGTGTGTATGTATGTGTGTTGCATGTGTATGTCTGTGTCCATTACTCTGTGTGTGTGTGTCTGTGCATGTGTGTATGTGTGTGTATGTGTATGTCTGTGTGTGTGTCTGTGCATATGTGTGTGTCTCTGTGTGTGTGTGTGTCTGTGTGTGTGTCTGTGTGTGTGTGTTTGTAGATGTTCATGGAGGCCAGAAGAGAGTATCAGATTCCCCTGGAGCTATTGTTACAGGCAGTTATGAGCTAACTGGCATGGGTTTGGGCCCCAAACTCAGGTCCTCTGGAAGAGCAGCAAATGCTCTGAACAGCTAAGCCAACCTCAACCCCTGACTTTTCCTTATGAAAAACAAATCAATTTTAAGTGTATAAAATGTAGGATTTCATTATGTCACTTTTTATAAATGTGTATCATTGTACTGAACTCATGTTCACCTCATCACCCATCATGCTTTGCTGACTACCTTACCCCTCCTACTTACCCTTTCCCTCGCCTGAACAGTCCATCTCCTGCTTCTCCCTGTGTGCCCCCCACAAGGCTAATCTAGCTTTCATATAAAATACATGAAATATTTTTTTCTGCTCCTCCCCATTACACTCATCATTACCCTTGGTTACCAACTTTTCATTGGCAAATTTTGTTGGGAAAAAACAAGACTCATGAATCCAACTGGACGTAAATTGGATTGAAAAGTGGAGGCCCAAAATGAACAGGCACTTTCTACAAAAATACTGTATACCACAGAAAGAATTGGGAATTTCAGTGGTCACTGGATTAAATCAGCCAATAGAAGGGCATTTGAAAGAGAGAAGGAGTTGTATGAAAAAACACTTCTTTTGTAGTATTGGAATTGCTGTATATAATACATAGTTTACTATGGTGAGATTCCTGTTGGCCAGTTCTTAGTTCTGACTTAGGACTCGAGCCTGGAACATTCCCTGAAAGTCTATATGAAAGGTCCTTGCCTAAGTTTTATGTTCGATACTCCATCTGATTGTCCCTGGGCCCCAATATGAAGCTATTGAGGTGCCTGCATCAAATGTGTTGATGTGGTCAGGTTGCCGGGGTGGGAGCCACTGTGACAACTTTCGTGTACTAATGTTGTTGAGCATGAACCCAGAGCATTGCCAGGCTAGCGTTCTGAACAAAAGCCATCAGATTCTTACTCTGAAACTGAAGGAACGTTTAGACGAAGCACGTGTCTTTAATAAGACGTGGCTAAGACTTATCAAGTACACATGTAGCACGACATTCACTATTCTAGATAGTTGTCACTTTTATTGTGTAGCTGAATACTGCTGTTTTTGCAGTTTCAGGACAACAGTGAGTCACAGGATGAGTTAGAACGTGCTGAGGTTATGCAGGCAATGAAAGGCTGGGTTTTACACACCTTCCCTGTTTGCGTTTGATTTTTCTGTTACCATGATAAAATACTGACCAATAACAACCTGGGGAAGGAGGGGCTTATCCAGCTTCTGGGTTTTGAGCATCATGGAGGGAAGCCAGGCAGGAACTTGAGGCAGGAACTGAAGCAGAGCCCACAGAGGATTGCTGCTCACTGACTTGCTCCCTCTGGCTTACTCAGCTACCTTTCTTATACATTCCAAGCCCACTTGCCTGTGGATATAGCACCCAGAGTGGCGAGGCTCCCCTACATTAATCATTAATTGAGAAAATCCCCCCACAGACATCTAGTAGAGGCATTTTCTCCATGGATAGCTCCTCTCACAGGTGTGTCAAGTTGACAACGATGCTAACTATGACAGTCTCCCACTCACTCACTCGATTGTTTACCCCTAGAGAAATACAAAGGAAAGGAACAAAGGCAGATATGGGCAATGTAGGAAACACAGTAAAAGAGAATTACCCTCTGTAGCTCCTCATAGGACATTAGTAGAAAGTTCTCTGTGTCTCTCCTGGTTAACCATCCAAGTGTGTGATCAAACCAGGATCCAAAAACCACTACAGAGATAGGGGAGGAAAAGGAAATTATTAGTGAACGTTGCACCTCATGAATATTTGTTCTTATTCCTGATTGGAGGATGGCATTTACTTTGAGGAAGGTAAAGAATGTCAAGTTTCTACCTCTAGAGGTCTATAACACAATTATGACATTGTCCAAGAAAGCTCACATGTGTTTTTTTAGAGAAAAAAATTATACATACTTACTACCTACATATTTAAAAGGATTTTTAAACCTTATTTCATGTGTATGGATGTTTGCTGATATGTGTTTATGTGCACCACATAGGTGCAGTGTTTGCAGAGACCAGAAGAGGATATAATACCTCTTAGAACTGGAATTACAGATGATTTTAAGCCATCATATGGGTGCTGAGAACTGAACCTGGGTCCTCTGACAAAGCAAAAAGAGTTAACCACTGAACAACATCTCCAGCCCTGTCTCTTTGAACCTCTAACTAGAAAAGTGTATAAAAAAGAGCAGGATAAAATCCAAATACATGTAAGAAGTATTTTATGAAGCAATCATAGATTTATTAAATAATACTTCATTGTGAGTAAAATACCAAGAACTGACTAAATGAATCAGTGGGTAAAGGCACTTGACCCACAGCCTGATGATATGAGCCTTATCCCTGAAACCCACATGGCTGAAGGAGAAAACTGACTCCCACAAGTTGTCCTCAGACATCCACACATGCACAATGGCACGTGAAACCCCATACACACACACACACACACACACACACACACACACACACACACACACACTAAATTAGTGAATATAATATCTGAAAACATGCAACTGAAATATAAAAATAAAGGATAGATAATCATTCATACCTATATAGTATATCATACAAGAATTGATTTTTCTAAGTGAAAAATGCATTAAATGAAAATCAGATTGCATCTGGTTGTCCATAAAATTCTTGACATCACACTGAGTAAAATTTTAAAACATTAGTCTTTGTTATTTTAACATATGTATATGTTAAATTCATATGTATATCTGTGTGTGGGTATTGCATTCATGAATGCAGTGTCTGGGGATGCCAGAAGAGGGCACTAGACCCCTGAATATGGAGTCACAAGCCCTTGAGATAAACCTAGCATGGATGCTGGGAACCAAACTTTGGCATCTGCAAGAGTAATATAGGTATTTCCTTCTTTAAGTTGGAAAAGTTTTCTTCTATGATTTTGTTAACTATATTTTCTATGCCATTGTGTTGGTATTCTCCTTCTTCTATCCCTATTATTCTTAGATTTGGCCTTTTCTTGGTGTCCCAGATTTTCTGGACATTTTGTGTTATGACATTTTGGGCTTTGCTATTTTCTTTGACTGACAAATCTATTTCCTCTATTGTATCCTTTATACTCTTCCATCTCTTGTATTCTGTTGGTTATGCTTGCATTTGTGTTTCCTGGTCATTTACTCAGATTTTCTATTTCCAGCATTCCCTCTGTTTGTGTCTTCTTCATTTTTTCTATTTCCCTTTTCAGGTCTTGAACTGTTTCCCTCACATGTTTAATTGCTTTTTCATGGTTTTTGTCTTTCTTTAAGGGATTTATTGATTTCTTCCAACATTTTTTTGTCTTTTCCTCAATTTCTTGATTTCTTCCAATTTTTTGTTTGTCTTTTCCTCAATTTCTTTAAGCAAATTTTTCATTTCCTCTTTAAAGGCCTTAGCATCTTCATGAAGTTATTTTTAAGGTTACTTTCTTCTGCTTCTTCTACATTGTGATGTTCAAGTCTTGCTATTGTAGAACCAGTAGGTTCTGGTGTTGCCGTATTGCTGTTTATGTTGTTGTATGTATTTTTGCACTGGTGTCTCCCCATCTCTTCCTCCAGTAGGTACAAAAGGTGCCTGTGTCTGAGTGAGCTGCTATTGGTCCAGTCTGTGCTTGCTGTGTCTGTGTCTCAGGAGGCCACTCTGGGTCCAATCTTAGCTCTTGATCTAATTGGAGCTGGCAGATTCTGTGTCTCAGGGAGCTGCTCTTGATCCAATCCAAGCTGACTGGTTCTGTGGCTCAGAAAGCCACTGGGGTTGCAGGGGGATGGATATTGGGGCAGGCCGTGGGTCTTGTGGATTGCTAGGTCCAATAGGGTTTTGATGGAGGAGCTTGCCCACAGGACTTTTCCCTGATGGCCGGCAACTGGGGCAGAGATATGATAGGTATTGTTTAAATCTGTTTTTGTCACAGAATATTTTGTTTACTCCATCCATGGTGATTTAGAGTTTTGCTGGGTATAATAGTCTGGGCTGGCATCCATTGTCTTCTAGTGTCTGCAAAATGTCTGTCCAAGACCTTCTAGCTTTCAGGGTCTCCAGTGAGAAGTCAAGTATTATTTTGATAGGTCTGCCTTTATATGTTACTTGGCCTTTTCCTTTGCATCTCTTAATATTATTTCTTTATTCTGTATATTTAGTGATTTGATTATTATGTGATGAGAGGATCTTTTGGGGGTCCAGTCTATTTGGTGTTCCATAAGCCTCTTGTATCTTCATAGGCATTTCCTCCTTTAGATTGGGAATGTTTTCTTCTATAATTTTGTTGAATATACTTTCTGTGCCTTTGAGCTGGTATTCTTCTCCTTCTTCTATCCCCATTATTCTTTTTTTTTTCTTTTTGGTTTTTTGAGACAGGGTTTCTCTGTGTAGCTTTGTGCCTTTCCTGGAACTCACTTGGTAGCCCAGGCTGGCCTCGAACTCACAGAGATCCTCCTGCCTCTGCTTCCCGAGTGCTGGGATTAAAGGCATGCGCTACCACCGCCCGGCTATCCCCATTATTCTTACATTAGGTCTTTTCACGGTGTCCCAGACAGCATGGATGTTTTGTGTTATGACTTTGTTGGCTTTAATGTTTTCTTTGACTGACAAATCTATTTCCACTATTGTATCTTCAATGCCAGAGATTCTCTCTTCCATCTCTTGCATTTTGTTGGTTATGCTTACATCTGTAATTCCTGTTCATTTATTCAGATTTTCCATTTCCATCATTCCCTTTGTTTGTGTCTTCTTTATTACCTTTATTTCAATTTTCAAGTTTTTGAGCTGCTTCCTTCACCTGTTTAATTGCTTTTTCTTGGTTTTCTTTAAGGAATTTATTGATTTCTTCCAATTTTTTGTTTGTCTTTTCCTCAATTTCTATAAGGGAATTTTTCATTTCCTTTTTAAAGGCTTCTGTCATCTTCATAAAGTCATTTTAGGTCATTTTTTCTGCTTCTTCTACTTTGGGATGATCAGGTCTTACAGATGTAGTACCACTAGGTTCTGGTGCTGCCATAGTGCTCTTCATGTTGTTGACTGTATTCCTGCACTGGCGTCCACCCATCTCTTTCTCCAATTGGTGTCAATGATGTCTGTGTCTCAGGGAGCCACTGTTGGTCCAATTAGCACTGGCAGTATTTGTGTCTCTGAGAGCTCTTGGTCCAGTTGGAGCTCTTGGTCAAATCAGAGCTAGTGGAGTCTGTGTCTCAAGGTGCAGCTGCAGTCTTGGGGGATGGATGGGTTTGGGAAACTGGGTGGGGCTTGTAGATTACAGGTCTGATAGGGGGTGGTCAGGCCTGCCAGCAGGAGTCTTGCCTACTGCCCTACAACTGAGGCTGCAATAGGTGGTGTCCCAGAAAAAAATATTTTACTAGCAGAGTATGTTTTAACTTCATTTCATGAATGAATTATTATAGCTTGAGGAATAGTACTGAGTTATAACCATAAGAAAGCATTCCTGTCTGTCTCCTTTCCCAGTGTCATGCCAAAGAACCTGTTTTCTTCACAGTTAGATCATTATGTTATGAAACAACACAGATAGGGTTGCAAAATAAATAGAATTTCCTTTTGGGTTGAGGATCAGATTCTTGTACAAAGTAACCTGGGGGCTGGAGAGATGGCTCAGGGCTTAAGAGTATCAGAAGACCCAAGATTGGTTTGTAGCATCTTCATTTGGACAACTTACCATTGTCTGTAACTACAGTTCCAGGAGATCCAACTCCCTCTTCTGTGGGTACTACACACACACACACACACACACACACACACACACACACACACACACACGTGCACACACGCACGCACGCACGCACGCATATGCATGCACACACACACAAACCAAACTGGAAAAGACAGACTTGATCTCTATGATGAAGGATGTATGCACTGGTGGGATTTACACTATAAAATTACTAAGACATGAAAACCCAACATCATGTTGAATGGTGTGGTTGATGTCAGTGGGATTTCCTTCAGTCTCTTGTGGAGTATGTTGCCTTCATTTGCAGGTGAAGAAAAGAACAAAATTATTTTCTGAGGTGCTGAGATGGAAAACTAAGCATGCAGCTATCATCAGCTGCCTTGCCTCGGTTTCTCCCAAAATCACTTGGAATCTGTGTCCAGGTCTTTACAGAGGGAAGCCCTAAAAGCAGTGGCATAGAACATCTTGTCATCCACATATTGTGAAAACTCTAGTACCATTGAATTCTTACATAGTGTATCTCCACACCTAGTCATCACCAGGCTCCCATATGTGATCCCTCATGACTGCTGACCCATACTTATACACCAATTTTCCATCTTCTGATGTTTTACTCCATTTCCTTCTTCAATGTTTGACATGTTTCATCTTAGAGTTCTTTCACTTCTTGGATGAGGGTTATCTTGAAGGCAGAGGGGGTGGAAAGATGTTAAGAACTAGAGAATCTGAGAGTTTTCTGTGAGACTGTGCCACCTAGTCATATCAGAAGCTACACCCATAAAGTCTCACCAATATGACCGTCTAAACATGACCTGGACATGAGTAAGGGACTGGGCTCAACAGATAGATCGCCATAAAAAAGAGAAATAGAATAGATGGTTATGGATGGATGCTGGGGAACTGGAACAGAAGGATCAAGTAGGGAAGGGGGAGGAGAAAGATGGATGAGGAAGAATATACAGTGAGAGAAAGCTAAATTTAGTGCCATTTGAATAGTAATATAGAAACCTAACAGAAGCTTCCTAAAATACACACATATATAAAGGCAATCTAAATGAAATC